TCCTAAAATGATTGATGCCAAGATGAGGTATCAGCGTCATCTTGAATGATGAAGTGGCTTTTCCGCGTGTGTGTGTGTGTTGCACTTTTCTCGATTGAAGCGGAAGGGAAAACTGCAAACAGAAGACAAAAGAGATACGTAGCGTTTCCCGATCAACTTTTATCGTGAGTCACTTCTAGCTGTTTTACTTTAACTCGATTTATAAATCTATATATAGAAAGCGGGGAACTGATATTGCTCGATTTGTCTCTTTTGCTTTTTTGGAAACGTTTGCGAAGCACTTAAGACAAACATTGTAGTGTCAAATCTAAAGTTTCCTGATTTTCTACGGGTCATTATATTATGTAGTAGCCAGTTGTCCATGACAATCAACTTTTACAACTGACAGTAACACGTACTAGTAAATATGTCAAAAACGAAAAAATTTTGGGAAAAAAGGAAAATAGAGTTAAGCTTTCATTTGCTTCATTATTTTTTTTTATAAATTGGTGGACACTTGCTTTGAAAATTCAAATCTCGATATTTTCGGAACAGAAAGAGATATCGAGTTGGGGTATCTGGTAAGTCCTTGACCAACTCTTTGAGAACTCGTACAACCTCCGTTTCTTTTGAGATTTAAGAAGGTCCTGCTGAGTTTCAGAAAAACATTTGTAGGGGTGGTGGTTGGGGGTTGTAGGCGTCGGGGGAAGGTAAATGAAATTATTGCCATCTTGATACATTTATCATCATAGTTTTTGCCGTAGATTTCCATAGCCGTCAGACAATAAGGACACCAGAGAATCAAAAGATGACTCATAATGCATATACAAAGTTTGATTTGTATAGAATCGCATGGGAAGTACTGCGACGATCTACTTGTTGTTTATTTAAGAAAAGATTAATGACTAGGTACTGACTAAATACCGTTAACCAAGTTATTCGTTCCTACAGGTTTCCCGGTGATCTGATATCACCGGATGAGCTAATCGACCGTCATCTTTACCACTCACCGTACGCTAAGGGGAAAACTGTTAAGAACGGCTGCTCTGAAATTTATCCCGGATGTGCAATCTCCCTTATCGATTTGGCTGTGGGACATTACGAAGGATAACACTTAAAGTGCTTCGTTATATCGGCTTATGAAGGATTGCGGATGTGATACATTTTTTAATATAAAGATACAGTAGAACCCCGATTATGCGAAATGATGTGGACCCAAGTGCTTTCGGATAATCGAAATTACGGAAAAAATTGAGTATATACCTATATAGAGTTTCGTAAAATATAAACATGTGGATACAAACATGCATATTTACGCGCATTTAGTAACAAAGGAAGCAATTTTTAGCTGTACATGTTTTGCATTGTTCCTATTTTTGACAGCAATATCCCTCCAACGTTTGATAAGTAGCGCATAAGCTGCTGTCGTATTTCCTTGTTGTTCGACAACAAGACCTTCAAAAAGCATTGTGTAATCCTGTACAAATAGAAAAATATAGTGATTATATATATATAGGTGAAAAATTAAAGCTTCCGCCTTTTGTTGGGTACTTCGAAGTACCCATATGAGTGAACGAATTATAAACGATGAACATTTTCTATTCAACACTTGCTTTTACGACGAATGTGCCTTTTTCTTAAATAGCGAGGAATCGTCATAACTGCCGATATTGGTCCGATTCTAATCCCAGAATTTATCATGACTGGTCCGAGCGTTTTAAAAAAAAAATTGAGCTGCCAGTAAATGCGTCTGTTTCGTTTTCGATGCGCCACCCTGTATACAGTATTCATAGTTAATTGCCTTAACTGTTACTAAAAAATACCCTTCAATTTCTTTGGGTCGAAGGCAAAGTATTGCATGAGCACACTCTTATAACTTAAACTCGAGCTTTCGATGGTCTATGCGATCATCGTCTGGAGCTGGAAACAGTTTTTGAAAAATAGCAACAATAAACAATTAGGAGGAAGAAATATGATTACTTACTAAGTCGGGGAGATTGTTGCTGAAATTGTTCTTAAACGACAGTCAAGGGAACCCAGTCGATGAACAAAAAACTGGACCGATGATGTACGATTAGGACAGAATTATTTTACTAATAAACGGCAAATCATAGCTATGCTTTTTTATTTTATAAAATTCTTTTAAACACTGATTGATCTGGAAGAACTTGAAGAACTATCAACTATTGAATTGCTATTGCCTTCTACCCTAATGAATTCAAGGATATATATATATATATATATATATATATATATATATATATATATATAAATGTTTTGAATAAAAACTACATAGTACTAAATGCATCGCAGTGCTATACAGGGTGTTTCAGTTTATTGTTGCATAACTTTAAGATTCGATAGAACTTTTAAAATTAATGCATAAAGTCTATATAAACATGGATCGAAAAATGCATGGCTTCCGAAATACAGGGTGTTTAAATTTACTTTCTAAAATAGTTTTTTTAAATATTTTGAACAATATTTGATGTACAACGGTGAAAATTGGTATGCAAGGGGTTTTTGGTACGACAAAATGAATCATGGGCATAGTTTTACTGTAGCCGCTAGAGGGCGCTCTCTACTGTACCTGTAGTGTATTAAAATGACCGAAAAATTTTTCTTAGTGCAATTTTTTGCTTTTTTAATAAAAAAACTGATTCTTCGCACTTTTCAACATAAAGAAGCTCTCTTGTGAATTTTCGTTATAGTTAGCCGTTTTTGAAATATTTTGATTTTTAAGGTACGATGCATTTTTAATTATTTATGATAAAATAACGTTAAAAAATCAGTGCGACTGTGCCTGAAAATATTTTTGGAATTGAAAGCAGAATAAGGTTTAACGTCAATTAGTTGACAGTTAGTTTTGTTGTCTGTTGAAACCTGAAACGTTTTTTTGTAAATGTGAATGCACGAAATTTAGTTTCTTTTACCTGTTTTTTTTTTGTAAGTTTTATAAAAATGCCATTTTTATTCTCCAATCAAGAGTTAGCGGATAATCATTTTGTGTATGGCTTTGTAAATGGAAACGCAGCAGAGAATACGCACGAAGATTTCCAAACAGACGACATCCAACTCGCTCAGTATTTGTAAGAGTGCATCGCCAAATAATTGAAAATGGTTTTGGAAATCTCCAAAGGGATCAAAACATAAATGTTCGTCAGCGCAGATTTACCCGTATGATTCTGCGTGAGTTTGATAGAGATCCGACCACAAGTGTTAGGAGAGTTTCTGGTGCCTTGAGAATTTCAGCAAGCCATGTTCACCGTGTTCTTAGACATGACCATAGACGTCCTTACCATTTGCAACCTGTGCAAGGACTACAGCCAGGGGACGGAGAACGAAGAATCACATTTTGACAGTGGATTCTTGATAGAACTGATAATAATAGCGAGCTTTTAACTAACGCTTTATGGACCGATGAGTCATGCTTCACTAGACGTGGAGTGGTAAATTTTCATAATCAACATATTTGGTCGCATGAAAATCCGCATGCAGTTCGGGAAAGAAATTTTCAGCATGAATTGTGTGGATTGGTATCTACCGTAATCGACTATTTGGACCCTACCTTTTGCCTGCAAGGTTAAATGCTGCGACCTTCTTGGAATTTTTAAAGGCTGAACATGCAAATATGTGGGATGATGTTATGTTAGATTTAAGAAGATTGGCCTGGTTCCAGCTTGATGGTTGTCCAGCTCATTATTCGAGAATAGTTAGAAACTGGCTGGACGAAAATTATCCAGAAAGATGGATCGGCCGTGGAGGACCAGTCGCCTGGCCTCCACGATCCCCTGACATAAATCCATTAGATTTCTTTGTGTGGGGATTTCTAAAAGAAAAAGTGTACCAGACTCCCGTTACCACAAGAGATATGCTAATAGACAGAATCAGGAATGCATGTGATGAAATAAGGCCTTATTTGAATAATGCTATACCACGTTCGATCATTCGTAGATGTGAATTGTGTATTGAGAAATTGGGTTTACATTTCGAGCAACTACTTTAGATTTTGTATGTTTGTCCTAACTATCCAATAGCATTTTAGTTGTAAATAATTAATTTAATTTGTTAAAAATAATAATGGAAAATTAAACAAATTAATATTTTGTTTTTTTGTGTTTATTTGGAGTTAGGAATTATTGCTGTGTTTAAAAACACAATCTAAACGATCATCTTAATTACTTGTAATGCCCAAATCGAAAATGTAAAAAAAATATTTTCCCATAAATAATTAAAAATGCATCGAACCCTAAAAATCGAAATATCTCAAAAACGGCTAACTATAACGAAAACTCACAGGAGAGCTTTTTTATGCAGAAAAGTGCGAAGAATCAGTTTTTTTATTCAAAAAGCAAAAAATTCCACTAAGAAAAATTTTTCGGTCATTTTTATACACTATAGGTACAGTATAGAGCGCCCTCTAGCGGCTACAGTAAAAATATGCCTATGGTTCGTTTTGACGTACCAAAAAACCCTTGCATACCAATTTTTACTGTTACACATCAAATATTTTTCGAAATATTTAAAAAAAACTATTTTAGAAAGTAAATTTAAACACCCTGTATTTCGGAAGCCACGCATTTTTCGACCCATGTTTATATAGACTTTATGCATTAATTTTAAAAGTTCTATCGAATCTTAAAGTTATGCAACAATAAACTGAAACACCCTGTATATGACAGTTATTTACCATGAAATGGAAACCTAGATTTTTATTCGGTTTCAATTAGTAATAGAAATATTATAGCAATTTTTTGTCTCACTACTGATTCACTCTACTTGACCCCACTTTTGATGTATATATTCTGTTATATTAAATCCAATCCGTAAGAAAGGAAAATATAGACCGTTGACCCACAAAGATCCTCTTGCCATTCCGTTAGGCCACTTAGCAGCTTTGCTCTAATTCCCATCCATAATAACCATGTCGCGTTCGTTCATTGCTCGCGTTTCGCAGTCAAAAAGGATGGGAGCGAGAGAGACAGTGTTTCTGATGGTGGTTTTGTTGCCCCTTGTGGCGGATTATGCGGACTGCGGCAAGCTGCTGTCCAGGCGGAAGCGGTATTTGACTTTTCCCGAAGGGGCCAGCATATCCGTGAGTAGCTTAATTTTATTCTGTTACTGCTTTGACATTTCCTTATATTGGTAATTCATCGAACAGAGAAATCTCCCTTGGGCAGACCCCAACGGGACCGGCTGAAAGTGTTCGTTCAAGAGACGTGTCCGTATAAAAGAAATACAACAAAAATCATGTTTATATATATATTAAGTATTGCAGGTCAATACATTGGGGTCTCTGAAACAAATGGCTATCTGGTAATTTCAAGGCCTACCTAGGAAATTCTGTTTTTTTTAAATAGCTCAGGTTTGGCAATGTCAATGTTTGATATACATTTTTGTAATCAGAATTAAAAACTGTAGTCATCTGTGTGAAAATTCAATATGAAGTTTGTAAGAAAAAATAAAGGTGACGCTGGGAGACAAGAGACGAAACGTCATATTAGAATTGTAATGCTATCTTGTAGAGGGCAAAAGTGGCAATGTTAATGTGGAATTCAGTTTGAAATTGAAGTACAGATAATCTCAGGGGGAAGTAATTAAGCAATTTTGAGAAAATTTGTTTTTTACTGTCTCTTCGGAAGTACATTTTATTTCGAAACTTTTAAGTCGTATTCTGTTGATTATCTAAATACGAGACTTTGCTCTATTTAAGCGACTTTGTATCTCTTACGGTTTCCGTGTTCTTAATCGTGAGGTTCAAATTTTAAAACACCGTATATAAATATTACCTGTACCTCTTTAGGTAACAGAGAAAGATATATTGTCTGACAGGATGATGGATGGAAATGAGAAAAGCACCCATTTGCGCCCGATTTTCCTGAGAGGCTGCGAGAACGGAGCTTAAACGAGTCAATATTTCCGGAACTGCGCCTAATGAAAATCAAATATTGGAAAATCGTTCAAATAGTTGCGCTCAGAAACTGCAACTGTTTCCAATTAAAGTAGCGTAGCAGACATAAATCCGTCACATCCACAGGCTTGCATTTTCCAGTACTTTTGTAACGTGCCCATTCACCATGTTTGTGTTTACGAATAACGTATGCTCTTTCACCATTTCCTCTGGACGCATTGTTATATAGGAGTACAGTAGACCTCCGGTAATCCGACAAACATTATGCAGGGCAGTGTCCGACTATCGAATTTGTCGGATTATAGAGCACTGCCTAAGACCCCCTATAGTCCGGAATTTTTTACAAAAGAGTACCTTATATTCCGACAAATTACATATCCAATGGTAAGATTATATATGTTATGTATATGTACATACTTTGAAGTACAAATCATACATAGTTTATGTATGTCGAATTTAGTAAATTAAATAACAATAGAGAGCTTACGTTTTATCATAAAATTAAGCATAAATGCACATACATATGTACCAAAATAAGCAAGAATTATTAATCAAAATCATTAATAAATTTATCAAATTACGAAGCTTGGAAAGATTCATCAATTTTGTTTTGTTTAAGGTTGTTATAACGCGAGATCAGAGCTTTGTCCCTCAGTCTTCTCAAAAGTAAAAGTTCGTTGTAGGATGTATTATTCTCTTCAGCCCATTGTAAACCTACCGCTCAAAGGCGTTAATTGCGTCTTGTGCTGTGACTTGTGGAGCAGTTGCAATCACGTCGTCGTTATTTTCCTGGTCGTTTGTTGTATAATTAAAAACCTGTTTTCTAATCTCTTCGTCAGAAATTTCATGAAAAACATTTTCCTCTTTATCCATTCCACGGCACCAGATTTCCAAACCTTCCGGACCTATCCGTGTTTCAGTAGCGGCTTGTTCTATAACTTCCGAAGTAACACTGATTTGTGGAACGTTGCTAGGAGTGGTGACTATATCTGGCCATAGCTTTTTCCAAGACGATTTAATAGTTGATGACAGTAACGCATTCCACGACTGACAAAGAGCAAAAACAAGTCTTTCATATTAAATTCTTTTAAAGTTTTTTCTATTGGTTCGTCTTTAGATACGGCTCTCAAAAGTAGGTTTTTCTTATAGTCTTGCTTGACAAACTGAATGATATTCTGGTCCATTGGTTGAATCAGTGCAGTGCAATTTGGTGGAAGAAACATCACAGTGATGCATTTATCCTCAGTTGTTAGTTTTTCTTCAGACGGATGACCGGGAGCGTTATCAAGAAGCAACAACGCTTTTTGAGGAAAATTATGGTCTTTTAACCATTTTCTAACTTCAGGTACGAAGCATTCATCAAACCATTTTTTGAAAAGGTCTTTTGTCATCGATGCACTTTTTTGTTCGTAATAGTGTACAGGTAAATCAATGTTTTTGAATGCCCGCGGTTTATTAGATTTCCCAATGACCATCATCTTAAGCGCGTGTATGCCTGCAGCGTTAGCACATGGTAGTATGGCTACACGCTCTTTACTTACTTTTCGTCCAGGTACGGATTTTTCGTTAAAAGAAACGAAAGTTTTGTTAGGCATCACACGCCAAAAAGCCCTGATTTGTCTGCATTGTACACCTGTGACGGGTCAAGATTTAAATCGTTCACCTTGTGCAAAAATCTTAATTTAAAGGGCTCCATGCAGGTGGCATCGTTAGAAAGTTTCTCTCCCGTAATAGTCATTAAACGTATGCCATGACGACTTTTAAAATGTTCTAGCCATCCTTTGCTGGCCACAAAATCATCTTTTTTTGTTATTTCCTTATAAAAAAACTTAGCTTTCATGGCCATCATGGGTCCTGACATTGGTGCATGCCTATTTCTTTCCTGAAGAAATCACATGTACAAAGCTTCTTCCACTTCTGTATGTTCAGCTTTCTTGAGTGTCTGTCTCTTGCCTGGCCCGCAGTCAGTAGTTGACACGAACTTCTTGATCATCTCGTGGTTTTTTTTAATGTCATAAATTGTAGATCGGCCTACGCCGTATTCACTTGCTAAACTACTGAGCTAAGTTTCATTGCGATTTAAGCGGTCTACAATCAGATTTTTCTTTAATTGTCATTGTTTTGTGCTTTCGCTTCTGAGTTTGTGATGACTAGGTACTAGGTACTATACTTAATACACAATGAATAAATAGTAAACAATGAACGCACGCTAGGCCGTACCGCTATCACAAGTAGTCAAATTCAAACTAAGTAAAACAATGCTTACGCGTCGAGCACGATAGCGGTGGCGTCTACAAGTTGTAACCTGTTCAAACCTGCGTGATCTACATTAGCGAAGATTATCAAATACGTATGTATGTGATATTCAAAGACATGTCGGATTACAGGGGGCGCCGGATTAGACAGGGGCCGGATGATCGGGAGTCCACTGTATGTATATCATTAACCATTTTTTCAAACGTGTCTCGAATGACTGTGATCGTGTTATCAGCATCACGCAGTCTAAGCATCAAACTGAAGCGATACTACATATACGGTGCTTTTCGAGAAGGTCTTACTTTTTTGAACGAGTCAAGTTAGAAAGCTTAAATTCGAATGAAAATTTCAAGATGGAGACTGGGAGCCATTTTGGAATATTTTGTTAATGGAATGAAGGGTGGTGTGACTCCCTCCTTATGAGTGATTTATGAAATCAATATCTTCCAGAATGGTGCTCTGGCAGGCTGTCAAAGATGAGCATAGTTGTACATTGAGTAGCTTTTAATTTGGCAGCCAATCCTCAAAACCTTAGTATAGTATACCAATCATCTCCTCTTGGAAGGAGCTATCCGAATATGTAATAAAGAATGGCAAAATACGTCAAATTTTTATAAACGGAATGTCCCATACTTTATTGCACATCCAGATGAAGCCTCCCAAGAGAAGAAGATTAATATACTATAATGTTTTTATGAGTTATAAGCGATTCAGCGTACGAAAGCCCTCAACTTTTATATCCTGACATTCCGCTATTCTGGAAGTTAGCTATTTTATATTATATGCTAATGAAGTACTCATGACGAGCTTCAGTTCAAGATGGCACATTTCATTCGAAACAATGGTACAAGATGGCAACGGGCTGCCATTTTGATATTTTCAGAGAAAACAAGTCAGTGAAGGAACCTTACTGAAAAGCACTGCATACGAGGAGGTACCCAAAAATAACCGGAATACCATTGTAGTGGGCGGAGCTTATGTAGTACACATTTCTGCCCCTAGAGGCGTACAGCGCAGAAAATTACCAGTTCAGTGCCACCTGAGTTGTCGATCTGGCTTGTTTCGTTCCTCTGTAGTTATTATTTTTGCTAGAGCTGTTTCGTGCTTGTTTCTTTTTTACGATGGCAAGATTCAGTGAGCAATGGCAGCTGTTAAATGTTGCTTTCTACGAGCCCCTTCCCACTTCAGTTGGCCCAACTATTGAAATCTTAGTTTTTTTCTTATCAAACACAAATAATAAAAATGTAGCAGGGTGATATACAGGGTTATCCAAATTAAGTGTCCACCATTAGTAACTTTGTTATTAGTGAAAATACAAAGTTGTTTGAATTAGCAAACTAGTAGCATTTTTAACGCTGGTAAAAATGAGAAATAAAAAAAAACAATTGAGAGTCGTTATTTTGATTTTTTTCAGTCAAATAACATTTTTTTAAATGGAAGCCCCTGTATATTATATTTTTTTCTGTTAAAGCATCAAATTTTAAACAAAAAAGTTCATAATGACTTTTCCGCTAAAGTCAAAAATAAAGTCAAAATAACGATAAATATTTTTAATTATTTGCAGTATTATAATATTAAGACGGCTATGAAAACAACATGGCGTTCGCGATTTGACAGCATTAAGATAAGCGACAAATTGTTAAACTGGACATACTCGCAACTAGAAGGCTTTGGAAAACAATGATAAAATCAAATAATGTCAAACATTAGTGTAAATACTTGTTTATAAGCTTTATTGTGTCATTAATTTAAAGAAAAATGTTCTCCCATGAAGAAAAGTGTGATATGTTAGAATGCTATTTAGTGTGCAGAAAATCCTCCTTGAGAGCAAGAGAATACTACAGTGAATTATATCCCGCTCGCATTCAACCGTATGAACGATATTTTCTGAGATTTTATCGAAAATTTAGGGGCAACGAAAATGTTTTTGCTAAAACAAGGGCAAAAAAAGAATTCATAATAAGCGAGGCCACGGAAATTGCAGTTATTGGATATTTTGAAGCTTATCGTGAGAATTCAATAGCAGATATTCTCAAGGACTCTAATTTCAGTTATGGTACTGTTCAAAGGATTTTAAAAAAATACAAATTTATTCCGTATAAGTACCGACCAGTTCAAACGCTTTTGGCAGGGGATCCAGAGAGAAGACTTGTTTTTTGCCATTGGTATCTTAGCTTCTGTCGCCAAAATGTAAATAACTTTCGTTACCTTTTATGGACAGATGAATCAAATTTTTCAAATTCTGGAATGTTTAATAGAAAAAACCACCATTATTGGTCAAGAGAAAATCTTTTGTTAGTACATCCAAGAGGCCCACAAGTCCGTTTCAGTTTCAACGTTTGGTGCGGTGTACTTGGTTCAAAAATTGTTGGCCCGTTCTTTTATGAGGGAACCCTAACTGGTGAAAGATATGTGGAATTTATGTCAGAAATTCTGACTAATTTCTTAGACGAATTGGATCTTATAAGTAGACATCATCTGCATTTTCAGCAAGATGGCGCACCTGCCCACAACTCCAGAGGTACTTATCATTTTCTAAGTACTACTTTTAATGATCAGTGGATAGGAACAAATGGCCCAATACAGTGGCCTCCCAGATCACCAGATCTAAACCCATTTGATTACTTCTTGTGGGGTTACTTAAAGAACCAAATTTACAAGCGAAGGTACGATAACCTTGACGCGTTAAAGACTGCAGTTAGGGAAAAGATAACCCAGATAGATGGTAGGACCATACTTAAGACAGTTCGAGCAGTTGAAAAACGTGCCCAAAAATGTATTGAAGAACAAGGTGGTCTTTTCGAGCATCTTCTTTAAAAAAAATTGTTATTGTATTTTGTAAGATTATAAGTTGATGTTGAAAATAAAGTTTGTCGATACAATTTAATTGTTTCAGATTGGAGGCCATAACTTCAACAATTTGTAACCTAGGAGAAAAGTTATTGTAAGCTTTTTTGTTTAAAATTTGATGCTTTAACAGAAAAAAATATAATATACGGGGGTTTCCATTTAAAAAAATGTTATTTTACTGAAAAAAATCAAAATAACGACTCTCAATTGTTTTTTTTTTATTTCTCATTTTTACCAGCGTTAAAAATGCTACTAGTTTGCTAATTCAAACAACTTTGTATTTTCACTAATAACAAAGTTACTAATGGTGGACACTTAATTTGGATAACCCTGTAGATTTAAAATACTAACAATGAATATTTTGATAATATATAGTAGAAAACACCAACTTTATCACTCCCTAATCAAATTTGCAGCATAAAAAGAACACATGTTGCAGTTACAGCATATCAACCTATTTTCATTTCAATGCAAAATAAGTCTATAACGCATAGGTGGCTGTGAAAAATAAAAGCCATGTCAATTGTTTTTATTAATCACAGCTGTCAGAATACGTTTAAAATAGTTTTGGGTAGTTGAGGTTTTCATAATGGGTAGAGGAAAGGTTACTAGTGAGAAAATTCGGTTACTGATAATTAAATTTTTTAATTCTGGGAAGTCAAACTCGGAAATTGCAACTTTGTTAGACTTATCGCGGTACAGTGTGAGAAATATTGTTAGAATATATTATAACGTCACTGGTTCAGTTAATATTAAGCCACGATATGTGAAAAAAGTAATATCACAAATGCCGACCGAAGAGCATTAAGAAGAATAATCGTGAAAAACAGACGTGCCAATTATTTACAATTGAAGTGCTCTGAATTTCGAGGTCCACAACTCATAGAGAGGCCCACAAACTGGGATTTAGCACTTGCAAGGTAAGTTTTCTTATAAAAAAAGTGACGTAAAAAACCCAAAGTTGCACAACTTATTTATAGGCCAAAGAACAGCCACTATTAACTCCATTGCAAAAGAAAAATCGGGCTAAAGAACATAGACAATGGGCACCTCAACAATGGTGTGCAATACAATGGAGTGATGAGGCCCGATTCGAAGTTTGTGTTGGTGACAGTCGCAGTAGAGTTATTCACCAAAGAAATGAAGCGTTTCATGTTTACTGTCTGAAAAGTTAAATTTCCAGCATCCATTATGGTCTGGGGCAGTATGTCATGAAAAGGAGTAGGAAAACTTCATTTTATTGATGGAAATGTGGATACAAACAAATATTTGGTAATTTTAGAAGAATCGTTTTTACCGGTGACGGAAGAATGTTTGACATCCTGCCAAGATTTTGTGTTTCAGGAAGATGGTGCAGCTTGTCATACCTCAAAAAAGGTTATAAAATGGATGGAAAAAAACAATGTACCACTTTTGAAATGGGTTTCTAGCAGTCCAGATCTGTCACCTATTGAAACTTTGTGGCACGAGATGAAAAAGGTTCTACGACAACATCCTGCTCGTACAATCACCGAACTGAGACAAATGCTTCAAGAAATATGGGACTGTTTTACACCAAATTTTTGCCAAAGAATTTCAGCCGTAATAAAAAATAAAGGTGATGTTACCCAATGGTAATCTTTCAATTGTTGCTTTGTTAACTTCGTGCATTTATTCGCACATTGTTTATTTGTTCAGATGTTCTATTAGTTATAGATCTAAGTGATTTCAAATATGTATTTTTTACGACTAGAGTGTATCTAAAATGTGTTTGAGAAAATAAATTGTTTTAGAAGTAAATCGTTTCGTCATGTTTAGTTTATAAAGGCATATTTTGGTACAAATCTTGAAGTGGGCCAACTGAAGTGGGAAGGGGCTCGTAATTGGTAAAAATGCTGCTCAAGCTGTTTTAATGTTGAAGATGATGCTATGGGATAACTCAGTGTACGAGTGGTTTGCTCGATATAAAAATGGCGACATGTCATTTGATGACAAACCTCGCTCTGGAAGTTCATCAACTGCCCGAATCGACAAAAATGTTGAAAAAATTCGAGAGCTTGTGCTATTTAGAGGTTTTAAGACGATTGCCAAACAGTGTTCGGTAAAAAAGACCCGATTTGTTGCAGTCAGGAGACTGGTTCTTCAACCACGATAATGCACCTGCACACACAGCCGTCTCTGTTCGACAGTTTTAGGCTAAAAATGGCATGGTTTCGCTGTCAAACATTGCTAAGGAAGACTTCAAAAAATGTTTCGAACAGTGGAAGCACCGGTGGAACAAAAGTATTCGTTGTAGTAGACAGTATTTGGAAGAAGATAAGGTTACTCGGTGAAAAAGTTGAAAATAAATAGCTTTTAAAAAATAATTCTGTTTTTTTGGGTGCTCTCTCGTATACGTAACATATTTATCGTTGTATTCAAATTTGGATGATGCTGTTCGAGTACTTTTAAGGAGAATAGATGATCTATAATATCGCTCCTGGTGTTTCTTATACTACGATTCCTTTAAGACCATCTATCTCGCTCCACTCTACCTGTCATTCATTTTTAGTGTGCAGTATGTATGACTAGCCAGTTATGGATTCAACCGCCAGGTATCTTTACCGAAAGTATAGCTTGGGGCTTGGCATACGAGCTACCTAATGACACTCGATCTTTGGAAGAGCTGATTGGGTCGAAGTACATGATCAAGCGGAGGAATAGAAGGGATCTTTACAGCAAAATGGAGACCATTCTTGATTCGTGAGTATTATTCTTTTCACCATTAATCTAAGAAATTACCATTATTAATTGCACTTTTTTACATCAAAGCAGTCGAAACTTTGTTATTCAAAGTTTTTAAGTGCTAGATACAGAAAAAACTAACTTAAGCCCTCATAATTGCCAATATGCTTTGTTGCCCTTCATCGTAAGCATAAAATGTCCTACAGAAATGAACGAGTCAAAGTAAAATAACTCGTTTCAGCTTTTTTCCCCGGCGAATTTATGAACATCAGTTTATCCTGCCCGAATAAAAATTGGAGATCCCCCAAGTTCCATTTGAAATATTACACATAAATCAGAGTCAACAATTGCAATTTGTCTTTTTCCAGGGCCGGCTATGATGGACGCTCTTGTGTCTTAAGGTCGCTGTGCGAAGCAACTTATAGGTTCTTGCCTAAGGAGGATAACCTTTTGCACCATATTTTGAAGATTGTTTTTGGGTGAGTTCTTCAAACAAAGCGTACATGTCTCTATTGAACTATTAGCTCACGACTTTCCATAAATAAGTTACTTATCAAAACTAGCTGACCTCACTTTTTGAATTACGAATGTGCAGCTTTGTCCAAAGGTGGACTCATTTTTTAACTGTTAGTTATCAAGGTGGCATGGACCAGATGCCTGTAATTGCAGAGATAAAATCGCTCGGAACCAATATTCTTTTGGAGTAGACGATCATCAATATCACGCCTTCTGTTAAATACCTATCCTGGCTTTTGGTTTACCCTGCGAGTCATTTGAATTGACACACATGCTCATAAATCAAAGCCCTGCACTCCCCCCCTCTCTCCACGCTCTTCAGTGTGGTTGCTGGAAATTGTCCTGGCATTACCAGGAGGTTTTCCTGTATATATATATATATATAAATATACAAAACCACAGAAAACAACTTGTGAGTAGAAGTAAAATTTCAACTTAAAAAAAGTTGTTGGCAAAAAACGGGAAGCAGTAGCATGTTCCCCTACATGCAAAATATGAACATCTATGAAACATTGTAAAAAGTTCTCATTTATTCATATTTCTTTAACAAGATATAAGAGAGGTGAATTAGTTAATGCTCCATTGGTAATTCATTAGGAAAAAGGAATCAATCTAAGGCGGTCCTGCAAAGATCAGAAAACAGAAACACAGTCTATGGACAATTACTGTAAAATCATTTATGAGGCCAATGTCAAAACGACCGTGGGGCCAACTTATTTGGCGACATCGCAAAAAAGAGTGATTGTTGTAGGGGAAGAACTTTTGTTAACATTGCAGGTCTATTTGGGTAAGACGTCATTGTTCTAGCCACTTTTAAGCAGCAACTTTTGAGAACAATCAGGTACTAAAAAAGCCAGACAGACATACTGAACTGTAAGGTCCATATCGTCAGTCGTCCCTACAATTGTAGGGTGCGTTTATGGCCTCCTTGATTGTCATACTCTTTTCTCTCCTTCAAAAATTTCTAGATTACACTCGTCCCGTGTCAGCGTCAGCGCTCTCCTGTTGTTAAGATATGTTTTCCTTTTAAATTGTAGGAAATTTCAGAGTGATAAAACATGATATAACTCAAAAGCAAGCACAATTTGATGCAAATAGATGTTTGTGACATAACCTCAAAATAGAGCTCTAACACGGAGAAGTAGAAAACTATGACAATCAAGGAGGCCATAAACGCGCCCTACAATTGTAGGGACGACTGACGATACGGGCCTAAAAGAAATGATTTGAATATTTAAAGTGATAAAGGAAGAGACTGAAACTTTCCCCTCAAGCTACTTATTTTGACTATAAAGAAAACACAGCTTAAGTTCTAACACCGCGTGACTCAAAACTGACAATCTTTCAGGACAGCAAGGAAGCTTTTGGATTTAAAAATGGCTTACTGAGATTACTACTAAAATTGAGATAAAATATTAATACCAGCATTTCCTGAAAATACTTTGGGCGTTATACTTAAGGAGTCAGTCTAATTGAACACCCAATATCCAAATGGTCAAATCACGTGATTTCTTCTTAAAGCCTAGATCGATAAAACGAAAATAAAAACTAACGAGCCTAATTTATTTTTAGGTACCCCGAGAAGAAGCTTCTGCCTTTCGAGCCAGATGAGCATCACATATATCATCAAGCTGTCCAACAAGGCAGAAAAGAGCGAGATTGTTCGTCCATGTTTTATCGGTGTCCATTTTCTTTAATAGACATGGCTTTGGGAGATTATTCGCCCTACTTGGCCTAAATAAACAAAGATAACACAAATTTATCGTTTCTTGTCGAGCAACCTTTCTCTCTACAAAGTATAAAACATGCGAATCGTAAAATATAACGAAAAGTCGGAATATTTGAAGAAGCCTGCAGGGAAACCTGGAGAAAAGTAACTTACATTACTTTAGTTACGTATTTTACGGTTAAAGAAGCATTCATTTACAATACGAAAGTACGATTACAGGTGGATCCGAAATTTGGACATTGAGTACAAACATGCAAACACGTAGAAACGCAATGGAAAATAGTTTTTATCAATTGCACATTACACGATCAAATAAGAACTGACAGAATAATGGAAATAATGAATGAAGAAATGCCACAAACTGAAACAATAGAAAAACAGCTCTTCTGGTAGGGTTATATGAGAAGAAAAGTATTCAATTGGATCCCCTAACGAAGAAGGAGCAGAAAAGACTAAATAAATTGTGGTACAATGGAATACATTTTGCTAAAAAGAAGAGATCTATTAGAGAGGATTCATCGTAAAATAGGAATCAATGGTGTTCTAACTGCGATAAAGTCGCTATGACATATACACGGTGCTCCTTAACGATACACGAATATTTAAGGGTGTGAATCTACATAAAAATTAATGTTAGTTTGTTTTTATAAACTATGGTCCAAAAATGTTTCCTTACAAAAACTCGGGGTGTTGAAGTTTTAGGAAAAAAATGGAAATTAATAAATACAAGTGGTCTATCAAAGCTGACACCATCCTCCGCCCATGCGCTGCTGGAATGACAGAAGACCCTTACGCCAACTGGATTAAAGCTACTCGACGTCTGTACAGATAGAAATGCCACCACCATTGAAATGGTCGACCCGGTCAAGGAGTCGAAATTATTTATGTATAAATATACACGGCCTAAGCTGAATATGTTCGTTTTTTGATGACTGATTGCATGCTAATAGGAACAAAACAACGTTGTATGTGGTTGGTCAAGGTTACAAAGACGGAAAGCAAACTTCAGCTTGTTGAGAAAAAGCTTCTGGCTGTCTCCATCATATAGGAGATTAGACAATATATTTTTCTCTCCATTCAAGGAAGAACGTTTTGTGTTCCTGTATGATTTGTAACCGATACGAGCCACTGCAAAGTATCAGAGATCGAATTACAGATCTGGCTCGCTTTCGTATCGCCGCGCTGCGGCATCCGGTGTGCTGGAGCCTTCATTTCCATCTCCGTTCTCTAGCATGGATAATTCCGGCTCGCTCTCCGACCCGGTATTGACGGCTCGCTCGGAGCTTTTCGGAGACAACGTTGCCAAGTCTGGCGCATTTGTCTCTCAGATGCGATGCGCGAATTAACAGAAAAAAACAAATCCCCAAAACACTACTGCTGACATTAGTTCAATGCCGCTATGTCACTTAATCAACCGGATTTATATTTCTAGTGAAGTCCCAGAAGGGTTCAAAGTAGCTTTAGTCACACCTGTCCATAAAAAAGGTGATGTAATATGTATAAATAACTATAGACCAATATCTGTCATCACAATTATAGCCAAAATATTTGTGAAAACATTGAAAAATAGTCTAGTTAATTTTTTGGACAAATGCAAATATCTTTCGGATAAGCAGTTCGGTTTTCGAGAGGGAATATCAACCAAAGGTGCAATTGCTAAGTTAACAGAAGAGATTAGAATTGAGTACACCGGTACTGTACGTATTCTTGGATCTTGCCAAGGCCTTCGACACTGTGAATCACCAGCAGATGTTGGACACCTTGCAGGATACAGGAGTAGAAGGCGGACCTTTACTGTTGTTTACAAGCTATCTCTCAAATCGAAAACAAGTAGTGAAGATTAGTGACATATTCAGTAATGAAAAGACAGTTGATTACGGGTTACCTCAGGGTACTCTGTTGGATCCATCTTGTTTACAATTTACATAAACAGTATTCTAACTTCGCAGTTGGTCAAGTGTTTAGCTTTGCAGATGATAGGGTAGTCCTGTATGATAATAACACTTGGGAAAATGTAAAAATTAAAGCAGAGCGGGATCTAGGAACTATTTTTGATTATTTTGCTTATAAACTTTTAACCGTGAGCTATGAGAAAACATTCTTTATGCCTTTTTCTAATACAGTACAGTATGAACAACTTTTAATAAATCAAAGTATATCTTTAACATTTGTGAAAACCTTTGATCGTCACTTGAGATGGGAAGTTCATATAGCTAGCATTACAAATACCTTACGACAATTCTTATATCTCTTTAAATAGTTAAAACATCTCATAGACTACATGCACCTAAAAATGTTGTATTATTCGTTAGTTGAATCACTTTTACGATACGCTATTTTGAGTTGGGGAAGTACCGCATATTGTGATTTGCGGCCTCTGGATATACTGCAAAAAAGAATATTGAAAGTAATATCTGGCAAAATAATTACTTATCCTTCTGAATTATTTTCAGAGACTGGAGTGTTTGACCTAAGGCAACTGTTTCTGCATGAATTAATTCAATTCATATACAAACACAAAAACAACTTCAATAAAACTAGCCATGTTTATTGTACTAGATATAAAGAAAATGAAAAGCTAAGAATACAAACTTTTCAAAGAAATGTAAGCTTGCGATGCCACACCTATCTATAAAATTTATAATTGTTTGCCATAGATGTACCGTATGTATATTGATTAAATAAACTCATTGTCTTTGGTAAAATATTTATTTAAAAAATATATTTTTGTAATTGGTAGACAAGAGACACGCCTTGGAAAATCAGTTTCCTCAAGACATTGAACTATTGTAGATTTGTATGGATGGTACTTATTCTTATTAAATACTCTCTTGACACACCACTTTCTCGTTGTACAGTTCTTACTGATGCACTAGGGATTTCGTTGACAGCTTGTAAAATGTTTCTGTCGCGATTTTCATTTTCAGTATTGTATCCGCTGTGATGTTCGAAGGCCCCATGGTTTATTAGATTAACTGCTATTTTTACAAATTGGGTTTTATGAGGCTGCCGTCGTTCGGGGTACATGTCCAAGTACCTTGCTTGTGACTGCAAGTGCAGCTCTAACCTGTTAAACTTTTCTTCATTTGAGTAGGGAATACCGGACATTTTCAACATGTTTTGACAATTTTTTTGACAGATTTATGATTTTAATGAGAGAAAACGTACCTACTAATTATTAAAACACAATTTTAATACTTTGCATTATTTAACGTCAAAGTCAGAGCCTCATTAGATGAAAAAAATGCATTACTCATTAATTTTATTTTCTGATAAATAAATCATGCCCTTAGAAAAAAATTCATACGTAACATAACGTGTGATGATATTTCGATGATAATCCAATCGTTTATGCACTTGTGCTGGTCTGGAAATTTTACGCTCTTTTTATAAATCGAAAAATTCAATATGACGGTCACAAGAAAAATGAAAGTTGAGGCAGGTTGCGAAAAAACAGAAGACGATTGAGACATGTCATTTTCCTCAAAAAAATGTCGGAATAATGTCACATTTTGACAGCTGTCAAATTAACCGTTTCGGATTTACTGGCAAAAATCAAAATTCGATATTTTCGGTTTTTCGCCGATATTTCCGAAACCAATTGATCGATCGTAAATCTAAAGCTGGCTATCGAATGCACTAAGTCTCCTCTAAAACTTGCTCCTAACCTTTGCTGTAGACATAACAGAAGCCGAGATCCCTGTATAGAGAGGCGAGGCTGGGGCACACTGTGTGTGATATTTTTCACTGCAATTTTTATGAATTAAAGAATAATGTTTATATTTGTGGTACTTCTATTTCTGTTTTTTTTTTGTTGTTGTTTTAAGATATTTTCATTTTGTGCTGTAACTATTATACAGGGTGTTTCAGTTTATTGTTGCATAACTTTAAGATTCGATAGAACTTTTAAAATTAATGCAAAAATGCGTGGCTTCCGAAATACAGGGTGTTTAAATTTACTTTCTAAAATAGTTTTTTTTTAAATATTTCGAACAATATTTGATGTATAACAGTGAAAATTGGTATACAAGGGTTTTTTGGTACGACAAAACGAACCATGGACATAGTTTTACTCTAGCCGCTAGAGGGCGCTCTCTACTGTACCTGTAGTGTATTAAAATGACCGAAAATTTTTTCTTAGTGCAATTTTTTGCTTTTTGAATAAAAAAACTGATTCTTCGCACTTTTCAACATTAAAAAGCTCTCCTGTGAGTTTTCGTTATAGTTAGCCGTTTTTGAGATATTTCGATTTTTAAGGTTCGATGCATTTTTTATTATTTATGGGAAAATAATATTTTTTTACATTTTCGATTTGGGCATTACAAGTAATTAAGATGATCGTTTAGATTGTGTTTTTAAAAACAGCAATAATTCCTAACTCCAAATAAACACAAAAAACAGAATATTAATTTGTTTAACTTTCCAATATTATTTTTAAGAAATTAAATTAATTATTTACAACTAAAATGCTATTGGATAGTTAGGACAAACATACAAAATCTAAAGTAGTTGCTCGAAATGTAAACCCAATTGTTCAATACACAATTCACGTCTACGAATGATCGAACGTGGTATAGCATTATTCAAATAAGGCCTTATTTCATCACATGCATTCCTGATTCTGTCTATTAGCATATCTCTTGTGGTTATGGGAGTCTGGTACACTTTTTCTTTTAGAAATCCCCACACAAAGAAATCTAATGGATTTAGGTCAGGGGATCGTGGAGGCCAGGCGACTAGTCCTCCTCTCGAATAATGAGCTGGACAACCATCAAGCTAGGCCAATCTTCTTAAATCTAACATAACATCATCCCACATATTTGCATGTTCAGCCTTTAAAAATTCCAAGAAGGTCGCAGCATTTAACCTTGCAGGCAAAAGGTAGGGTCCAAATAGTCTTTCCCGAACTACCCTTTATGATAATATATATGATTTTTATTATTATATCCTAATGAGTAACCAATTTGGCAACCCCGCTTCCGCAAGATCGGTGGCCGCCTCCACGGCCGACCGCCGCCTCCTGTCGCAGCAGCAGTCTCTCGTCGCCGCCGCGTCACATCCGCAGCCGCCCCCGATTCTCTGTCATCGCGTCGCGCCTTGACACAAACCGCCGCCTCCGCGATCGAGATGGTTGACACGGCTGCGGAAGGATCAAGTCACCTATGCATTTGTTGTGGGGACGTTGGTAGAGGAACGCCGGCTGGCCATTAAGAGGTAGGGAACAAAAGAATCGCGGTTTCGTAAAGTGGGCGTTCACTCTCTCTGCTTGGTATGGCGCAGCGCTGTGATCCTGACGTGATCTATGAATGAAAAGTCATTGGGTTTGAAGAGTTTAGTACAGTTTTCGTGATAGTATGATAGGGCATTGAGATGGATTCAAGAATATCGCTAAAATATGTTTTACACGGTGACTATTTAGAAAGGTACTGTGAATGATCCATATTCTATGAAAGTAGGTCCTTTTGTAAAGAGATAATAACGAAAGACTGTAGAATGACAAAGGAATGCTCTAAGGATTTGACTTTTGTCGTTTCCTAGCACATTGTTTTTGATATAGCTTCAGAAAGAACGACAAAGATGTATAAGATATAGTATCTGTAACTTAATTGTAATCTCGCTCTTTCAAAGTACTGTACCCTAACTAACAAGAAGCGCCCTGGCCACAGACTACTAAAGAATATTCTTTAGTAGTCTGTGGCCCTGGCGCTAACCGGTTTCGATATCGAATTCTACCAAAGAGCCGTTAATTTCGGCTAGTCCAGATCACGAAGGATTTGATCAGGCACGAACACATCTCGTCAAAGCTAGGCTACTTGTTTAGCCAAGTCCCCGAGAATACCTAGCCGCGAGTACTGCTCACATGTTTCTGGTGCTGCCGCCCTGATCGATCGAAGACTCTTCTTCGACGGAGAGTCCCGTGATCCTTTCTTAGCTCTCTTCTAGCGCTATGTCAACGGTCAGTCCAAAAAAACTTTGTTAGCTGCTAGTATTTAGGTCTTTACCGTTGGTTCGGTATAAAAAAGATCCTATTGATAAAAAAAGTAATAAGATACCACAGAAATTCAAATAGAAGTCGTTTGATAATTTTTTGTAGATATCTAGATGCTCTTAGCTTGATTTATGATGATTCAAGGGAAAAGCAAAAGCTAAATTATTTTTAACGTTTCATTGTCTTTGATAATATGATACTTGATATTTGGGATTTAATAAAACTTATGGTAATGGTGTGCTCTAGTCATGAATTGCTCCTGCTGGTCCAAATTTATTTATAATAAACTCATCAATTAACGAGAGAGGCATTTAATCTAAATCTATTTGAAATGGAAATAGCACTGAAAGTTTAAATAAAGTAAGTTCTCATCTACACGATGTTTTTAGAGACAAAAGATGCAGAATCAAGCAATTTTTTAACGAAGCAGATATTTAGAAGATTTTTATTAGTATTTTGAAAAAGGCTACCGAGATAGCGGAAATTTTAGTAAAGAGTCATTCCTATTTCAAATTCGATTCTTACCATGAGGATTTCGGACACGGGGCTATGGGTCCGGGAATGGAATCAGGTGGTCTTTAGTGACGAATCTCGTTTCTCTGTGGGGATGCACGATGATCGGACAAGAGTGAGAAGGCAAGGTGGTGAAAGAGGTGACCCACAATTTGACATAGAGCGTCACGTTCACCAATTTGCAACTGCCTCCACAGACTTTAGCAGCTCCTACTCACGAAGTTGCAGAAGCCTGGAATGAGATACCCCAACAGGATATCGACCACCTTATCAGCACGAAGCCCAGGCGTGTCAATGAGTGTAGAAGAAATCGTGGATCCTCAACACATTCTTGAACCAGCTTTTGCAGTCAGTTGACGAATCAAGCTGAAAATTTTATCGTTTTACTATAGGGTTGTCCAATAGGGACGCAGGAAAGTAAACGTCAATTTGACATAGACGCCATCTTTGTTTTCTGTCACCGACATGCCATTTTGTTAGTTGAATGTTTACCCATGATCGCTATGGAGTCGTATTCGATTGAAGACCGCATTAAAGTTATTCAAAAGCACTACAAAAATGGTGCAAAAATAAAAAACACGTTTCGCGCGCTTCGTGAACATTTCGGTCGCAACAACCGCCCAAACGAAACAACCATCGGTCGTCTGGTGCCTAACTTCGAGGCAACAGGTTATGTGGCAAATCTGCCAGGCTCTGGCCGGCCAAGGAGCGTTCGCACACCGGAAAATATTGCTGTTGTGAAGGAGAGTGTGAGAGACGATCCGAAACAATCAACAACGCGTCGATCCCAAGAATTGGGCATTTCGAGAACCAGTTTGCTCCGCATTCTCCACAAGGACGCAAGAGCTGCGTCGGGCCGACCATTTTTCGCGCCGAACGTTCTCAGATTAGCTCCTTGAACACCGCCAAATTGATGCCAATTTTTCATCAAAAATCATGTTCGGCGACGAAGCGCATTTCACTTTGAATGGGACGGTAAACAAGCAAAACTGCCGCATCTGGGCGAACGAAAATCCCCGTGAGTATCAAGAGCAGCCGATGCATCCTCAAAAAGTGACTGTGTGGTATGCATTGTGGTCAAAAGGCATCATCGGATCTTACTTTTTCGAAAATGCGGCCGGGGACGCCGTTACCGTCAATTCTGAGCGATATCACGTGATGATAGAGGTCTATTTTTTGCCGCAACTTGAAGGAATGGATATGGACGATGTTTATTTCCAACAAGACGGTGCAACATGCCACACAACCAACGTCAATATCCATCGATTGCAGTCCTTCTTCGGTGATCGCGTGATTTCGCGCAGAGGAAATGTGCCATGGCCACCAAGATCGTGCGATTTGACTCCCTTGGACTTCTTTTTATGGAGATATTTGAAAAGCAAAGTCTACGTCAACAAACCAGCCACCCTCCAAGAACTCAAAACAACATCATTGGAGAGATAAATGCCATAGGACCGACCATGTTGCAAAATGTCATTGAAAATTTCGACCATCGCGTGGACGTCTGTAAATCCAATCTTGGTGAACATTTGAGCGATATTATTTTTCATACATAAATGGTATAAATGAACCTTCAAAATAAAGTACCCGACTTGATTTGAATATCAATCTTTCTTGTTTTAATATGCGTTTACTTTCCTGCGTCCGCTTTGGACAACCCCATAGTAGGGACACTGAACATGTATGCCAAAAATTATTAAAATCGGATGAAAGGGTGTCTACCTTTTTGTCATTCAGTATATTTCAAAATAAAAAGTCCACTTTTGTGCTTAAGACGGCAGTAGACATACTGTTTACGAATCCTCGACCAAATACTTTTATTGGTATCACATATCCGTAATAGATCCAGAAGGACAGAGATAAACAAACAGAGCAACTTGGCATTCGTCTGAATATGACGGGTTTCCGAAAGGATGCTTTAAAGTTTCGTGAGACTGTCCAGCCATGCGTTCGATTTGGAGTGGTTCCAAGTGATTCCAATTCCAGGCCAATTGCTCAACTGACCCTATTTATGTTTATTGTAGACGAGTTTGGATAAACAGAAAATACAGAGAATAATCACATACACAACTTTGGTCGGTTGATATGTAGTTGTAAATTATTAGATACTGGGCATACGAGCTTCAGATAACTCATACAGGGAGCGGCAGAGAGAACGGGCGGTTCTAAAAAATCATAAAATGGTTAATTTTTACTCGAAAACAAATTTATTGATGGAATCAGGTTCACAAGGAAATAGCATTTGAGACAGTCAAGTGTGGAAAATCGCATCAGGCATGTGGTGGCCGAAATCGTTGATGCAGTGCTGGGGGCGTTCTTGGAAGTTCGCGTAGACTCTCTCCAACATCGCTCTCTCAACTTGGGCGACTTCCACGCGAATTTCGCGCTTCAATTCGTCCAGAGTTCGGGGCTTGTGGCTTGTGAAAGTGGGCTTCGTCACTCATGAGGTTCTCATTTTGATCGATCAGTGCTTCCATCTCACGTGCGAAGTTCATTCGTTGTGCATAATCTCCGGGCTGTAACTGTTGCACAATGGCCAATTTGTAGGGGTGGAAGCGGAGATCCATATGCAAAATTCGCCTTACCGAACGATCACTAAGGCGAAGTGTAGCAGCATGTTTCCGGGCAGATCGAGTCGGACTGCGAAGAAAGACCTGTCGAACGCGTTTAACATTTTCAGGAGTTCGAACTGTTCGCGGCGCTTCTCTTGGTCTTCTGTTGATCAGTTCACCACGCCTGCGAAGTGATTCAACCCAACGAAGGATGGTGTTTCGAGAGGGAACAGCTCTATTCCGATGAATGTTGAAGTGGCGACGAAACTCACGCTGTACGACGATGACTGACTCATTATTTCGGACGAAACAATCATAGGCGAAAACGCGGTTCTCCACCGTCCAAGGCTCCATAAGGACAACTGGTAAAACAATGCTAGGATCTCACGAGCAGTGCTGCCAGTTCGATATTCATTTTCTCAGTAAATGGGTTGCCAAAAATTCAGTAGATTTCAGTAGATATATATTTTATGAAAATTTTAGGAAAGGGTGATAAAAAAGACCTATGAACTCGAAAAAATATGTATTTTTTATAAATAAAGAAAATTTGTGTGCTTAACAAAATATAGGAATATGTACACAAAACAAAAATTTTAACTTATACCTAATTCTTAATTTAAAAAAAACTTATCACAAAATAAAGATGCTTAGGACATACTCATCAGATACGAGTACATAAAAAACAGCAGTAACTGATAAAAATAATAAACAACTCCAAAAATACAAAACAAGTAAAAAAATTACGTAAGAACTAGAGGTACTTATATAAAAAATAGAATTTATTCGGAATCCGATAAAGTATTGTACTTTTTTGGTTTATAAATATCATTATTATGTAAATTAATTGCTTCTTTTGTAAATGTAACGTTTGTACAATTTACTTTTCTAGACTTTAAATAATTGTTTGTGTGTAGATGTCCCACAATACTCGTAGTTGAAAGTTTATTTCTTTGATTAGTTTTCATTAGATTTACCGCAGAAAAAACTCTTTCTACATTTGCCGATGAATGTGGTAAAATTAACAAATTGAAAACAAATCTACTTAAAACAGGGAACATGGAAATTCCGTCGCTGTAGCGCATACTTTCAATTTTTGACCAGGATGTTTCTACATCTACATCACAACTGAAATTTAAATCCGTATTTCGATGTAATCGCCA